GAGAGAGAGGGGGGGGGGCGAGGATACTAGGGCTGCATTTAAGGTATTTCGTGTAAAATGTCAAAATAATGAAGAAAAATGAAAAATTAATGGGAGAAATATCTGAATGTGTTTTCAGTATTTTTTTCAGATCTCGGCCAGAAGAAAAAAAAATTATTTGCCTTTTTTCAACGCCACTCGGCAGGTAATTAACCCACCGCTGTGCACAATACTTCTCATTTCCTCTTTACAATTTTTTTTCTTCGAGTTGAAGGGAAAAAAATCAACTCTTTTGATCGCAACCCCGGCTAGGCGAATTATTAGTCGTTCAAAATGGTTTAAAGTTCGTTTGACAATGTTATGCTTTTTAAATACAAAATTTCTGATATGAATAAAAAGAAGCTGTGACTCAATATTCCAAATGAAGTTTTAATTTTTAATTTGGTGCTGAAAACACGAGATGACAATATTCTAAGCACGAAATTATATTGATGAGATGAACAACAGATTAATTGAATTACCGTGTGAACTAACTAAAAATTGATAACAGCGTGGGCACGCACTTTTACCAGAGTATCAACAAACATTGAATTCCAGAAATTCTCACTCCAAAGTGTGTTCTAGAAGGAATTGAATTGTAATTATGATTAAAATCTTATTCAGTGAGTCAAATCATTTATTGTAATATGAAAATTTAACAGCTGATAAATTGGGAAGTATGATTCTCATCGCTCGTATTGCTTTTTGCAATGAGAATGATTATAACCAATCAATTGAATATCGAATCAGAATACCCGGAATTAATCAATCTACATAACAGAACCGTCATCAAAATTCGGAACGTGGAGTGAGGGAAAAATAAAGTTTTGTCATACGACCGTATGAAATCAAATTCAATCCCGCGTCTGCGAGACGACTCACAAGGATTTCTTTATTTCCGCGTGAAGGGATTGAATAGAATGAGGAATGAAGTTTCGAAAAAACTTTTTCTCTCGGAAACTCAACAAAAGTTCCCCAAACCCTCGGAGTACAAGGGGATTTTTCACCGGGGGCGCACGTGAATTTTTTCGTCTCAATCCGTCGCGTAAAAAATAATTCACTAATGTGAAAAAACTCTTGCCGAGTGAATAGCGGCTGTAATTAACCCACCGCGTCCATTAGCATTACCTGTGTTAATGAACAATTTAACATGCGAGTGGGCACACGTGATGCATCGACAATTTTCACCGTCTGCTTTTATCAATAATACAAATGTCACTGTTTTCAATGAACAGACTTCCATGTTGTTAGAGTAATTAGTTAAAACATTAATAATTCATGGGCTTTAGGCGAAAATACCCGTGCATTTCTCCGGGAAATCCCCCAGGCGTCATGTCATTTCGTTGTTCATTGGCTCTAACATGAAGATTACAGACGAAAACATGAGTTTCACTGGATGAAATGTCACTATTACGAAATCATTAATTTAACAGTTGTTTATTTTATCTCCTCTCCTCCCTCAACACTAGTTATTGCCTTTGAATTTAATTAGTTTGGAAAAATAAATTGGGATTTAATTTTATTTTACGTTCTTTTGAATAATTGTCATTAAAATTTGGGGAATTGCGGTTTATTACTGTTGTGTTATGAATTATCACGGGCAACAACGAATTGTCAAATTGTTTGACGAACTGCGTCGCTCCGCAGTCGTCAACGAACTGCACACGCTTCGCCGTGAAAAGCGTCTGGATAGCCTCCAGCCGGCGTACATGGCGAGGCCGAAGCCCTCCGAATGTGCCCGAAGTCTTTACTATACGCGCCGGCGGCTAGCATAGTTGTACACCTCTAGGTGTGCTCCGGTGATGGGGTTGGGGAGTGTAGCAACATATGAAAAAGGGAGAGGAGGTCGTGGGGATAAATTCTTGGGTGCGTACCGCCAATGTCCCGGTAACTGCCACTGTTCCGGTTTCTGGATTCGGCGATTTTTTAATGGGTAAACAAATCGTTTTAGTGCAGAGGGAATTTTTTATTCGTACAGTTGAAAGAAATTATTGTGAATGGACAATTACAGTGTTAAAATTTTTAGGAAACCCTCAATGAAAACACGAAAAGCTCCAGTAGCGCCGGGCCCATGATTTTTCGTTTTTTTCATCAAGTTTGTTAATTAACACACAACGACCTTTTCTATTCCGGGGAAAACTCTTGATGTTGGCATTTTGAAGATACAGTTTTCGTTGGACATCAAGGGGCCAGAATAATTAGGAAACCCGGGGATTTTTTTAATTATTCACTTGGTCGGGAACTTTGTTCGCAGTTAATTAACATTGGGGAAGAGTAAGGGAAAGACCCTTGATGATTTTCTCGTGGGAGTTAACGGGTCTCGGTTGATAAAATTATCTATTTTACCCCTTGATTTTTTCCTCCAGTAAACAATCAAATAAAAAAAATTGAAAAATTCGTGCCGAGGAATTTTTACAAGCATTGTTTATAGAATAAATTGTATGGAAAAATCAAATTCCATTCATTTTTTCTCGTATTTGATCTGCTGAAATTCTTTTCTACAATATGTTAGAAGACAGTTTCGGACTTTTTTATCAAAAAAATTAATTTGAGTGAAAACTACAATATTTGTGGGGAATTTTGACCCAAAGTATTGGAACTGTCACTGTTGGCAATCTTCTGAATATAAAATATGAGAAAATTAAATAAAAAATAATAATGGGTTATTAATGGGTTTTAATTAATATTCAATTAATTGTTTTTTTTTCTATTCAAGAAAATATAAAATACAAATATTTCACATTTCCCCAGAAAAAAAATCGATGAAAGATGAGACTAATCCCCTCAGCCCCTGCCATAATGACCCAGTGGCTGAAATATTTCTATACTCTGTCAACTAGCATTCACCCAGACGGAAATGGAATTTCATATCCTCTCTGGCAGACACCGAGTGATATCACAACTTGATGACAAGAAAATCGTATATTCGAAGACGAACGACATCAAACAAGCCAGCATATACCACTTGTAGGATGGATGCTTCGTCATTACCCTCCACGATACCCCCCACTCCACCTCTTGGTCTACATGTCCTTTTGGTGAGTCTCCAAGTGGTAGTGACATTCGCTGAGAAAACACGGATCGTCGCACTTTAAGGTCGATGCGTTTTCCAGTTGACGATACCCAGAGAAGGAATGACATAACATATTCTGTGTATCAGCTTTCCGGAGAGGAGGATATGTGTGCATGTAGCAGAGTAAGAGTGAGGAGGGGGTTGGAGAGACCAGAATACAGGAAAAATTGTCATGAAAGGCGGTGGGGGTTTAATCAATTTTTTTTCAGTTCCCCTGGGAAATTGTTCAAAAATTAAAAAATTGAAATTAAAATTTTTCTTTCCTGGGAAATTTGGTGAATGTTGGGGGAATGTTGGCTGCCGACGTTGGGACAATATTGACTACCAATGTTGGGGCAACGTTGGGGCAATATTGGTTGCGAACGTTGGGCTAGTGTTGGCTGCCGAGGTTGGCCACTTTAAAATACATCATCATTCCATATAAAAAACAAATTGCTAATTTATTATTTTAAAAATATTGACTACGTTCTGACCAATGCAATTTCCCATTTGTTTGTTGCATTCTAAAGTGTCTTCTGATTCCGTTTATTCATGAATATATTTTCAAGATGGTCTCAACATTTCCAGAATTACGAAATGTGCTTTTGATTTTATTCTACATGTCTGATGTTGATGGAGCCATTAGTACAGATGGATTATTAATGAGCCTATTTGCCACGCATACGTATACAGTTCCATGAAGTTGGCAGAAATGAAAGTAAAAAATATGTTAATAAATTTGTGCATCAAAGCCCAGAGGAGTTCTCATCCGCAGCCGTGCATACGCCAAATGAATTCATCAAGTTTCTAGGGTTTCATTCTATCTAGTCGTTGAAATTCGATACGAAATTTAATAAAATCCGGAGTAAATGGGAAGGTGCCTTTAGGAGGGAGAGGGTGGGTTCCTTGGGCGTTGGATTGCAAATAGACTCGCTCTTTATTCCCGGAGGTAAAGGGAGATGATATAGTGACTCTAGAGACAGTATTGAGTGGCGGAGGAAAAGGAGATTGATTAAAAGTGCTTTTTATCCCCTTCCCTCTGGGTGGGGTTTTATTTTTTGGAAGAGGGATGGATTAAACTTTCATTCGGGTGGATCTTTTTTTTTTTTCATTTTGCGGGGTCAATTTGGAAAAGAGACTTTATGCCGCAACGCCATCTATCAGAATTCTAGAAAATTATTTTTTTTTAGAAAATCCCATTCAATTTTTGGGGTTTCTAGAAATTAAAAAAACTTGAGTTGCTCAAAGAAATTTGAGAAAATTCTCGGGTGTTCTAGAAAATTCAAAACTTTTTGAAAACAATTTTGAGAAAACTCAGGATTTTTCCAAAATGATCTGGAATTTTTTTGGAAATTATGGAAATATTCCTGGAAAATTCTGGAACATTCTGGAAAACTCTAAAACCTTCCGGAGAATTGTGTGAATTTTGTGAGTTGCGTAAGCCTCACAAAAAAATTTCAGCGACCTGCCTATTTTTCTGGATCAAGTTTCATTGGTATTATTCCTCAAACGGAATATTGAGCAGTGGAATTGATGCAACGGCTATTTACAATGTTTCGTGCACAAAGAGAGAGAGGAATGTTGCATGCACTAACGGAGTTATTGAACAGCTCCAACTGGGGTAACCACTAGCAACATGACAGCAACAATCGAAGATCGCGTGACGCTACGTGACGTGACGTTTCATAGACGTGCCGTTGGTGCCACTCTATGAGTCTCGTGGGTGGAGTAAAGTGGGAGCGGACATTTTGTCCACGCTAATTCTACATGCTCTACCTCATCTTTGTGCTCATTCACGTTTGCTCTCAATCTTCGTAATTACACAGATGTCCGCGTAGAATGTCCAGCAGTCCAACGCTGGACTTTCATTTGATTAAATCAACATGAGGAGAAGAACATGGGAATTATTTACAGGATGTGAGCGTAATTCCTGGGTAATTTTGGGCGTGTGGCGAGGGCACAATGGTCACGAGATGATGTCGTTTCGAGAATTTCTCTCAATGTGTCAAACAGAAAATATATCTGAATCGATATTTAAGGATATTCAAGTAGTTTCTCTATTTTTTTCCAGTGAAATACTTTTCTCTTGATTTCTCTTGATTTCTCTCTTCACTTGACCCTGAATTTCCGAATATTTTACAATCATTTTATTATCGGTACTTCAATGACATCTGAACTCTCAAACTCATTGCGGAATTTGGACATCACATTCTACTGAATTTTCGGTGGACTGAAAATTAAGGAAAATTGTTGCTTCATCTTAAAAATATTTAATAATTTTCATTCTCATGTGGAGCCCTATCGATCGCCATTAATTAAAATTCAATTCATCGATTTTTTTTTTAATTTTCGATTTTTTTTAGTTATTGTGGGACAACCGATTTTTGAAAAAATTCGAAAACTGAAAGAACTAATTGGTGAATTAGAATATAATTAATAGCGATTGATAAGACTTAACAATTCCCACATTAGAAAGAAAAAATGAAATTCCAGGTTTCACTGAAAATCCAATGAAATTCTAAATTTTCAATTAATTAAAAATTCAAGAAAATATTTACGGAATTTTCCTGATTTCTGCTGATGTTCGGGGAATAATTGAGTTGACATTAACACTTCTCATTCATTTCTCCATGAAAATCCTGAATTTTCCATGATAAAATGCCTTGAAATTTCAGTGGATCTAACATGATAAAAATTTCCAAAAAAATGGATCGGAAATTTCCGCCAAAAATTGTCAACAGTACAAAAGGTTATTCATTATTCCAAGCTGGCTGATAAGTAACAATATTCGTTTATCATGATTTCCCGATACATCGGGGGAATAATAAGACGTTCGCTCGTTGGGGGGAACCGACGGCCGAACGGTGGTTTCACACTGGACGCGAGCGTAATTACCCGAAACGTGACGCAATTACCAGAGTGAATTCGTCGACTCACTAACGCGGGGATACATCGTCCTCATTTTCTCCACTTCGATTTTTCCCCTGCCGAGAGAAAAAAGTACTTATTGCTGGGGCCATTCCCCAAGAGTACAATAGCAACTGTCTGAAACAGAGTTAAACGGCTGCAATGAAAAATCTTCATGATACCGGGATTTTTTCTCGCGTCGGACGAACAAATAAACGGAGGGGAGATGTAATATGCCCCAAGGTGTAGTTGGATAACTGGCGGGTGGATGGAAGGTTCCCGGGCTAATATAGGGATTTAAGTAATACTTCGAAATCAATGCGTGCGTTTTGAAAAATTAATTAATATAACATATAATAATGCTATTAATATATATAACATATTTATATATTATATTATAATAATAACAAATATAATCTTGATATAAAAAATCAAGATATTATATATAATATATTTATATATAATATAAATAAACATAATATAACATTAATATAACATATAATAATATATAAATATATAATATATAATATAAATAAACAATAATAATAATTTTCGCCGTGAATGTAATGATTTATGATGGAATAAATAGTAAATTTTACAGCATCACCAGAATTTACCCTCAATTTGCCCGGATCTAGGGTGAAAGGACCCAGAAATGGATTCCCCTCCACGATTA